GCCGGGGGGCCCGAGCCTCGGTGGCCGTGCCAAGGTGCCAGAGCAGCCGACCTCCAGCCGGACCAGGTTCAGCAAGGGCGGGGGCGGGCTGTAGGGTTGGTCGGCGCCCGGAGGTGTGCCGGGCCTCTGTGAGGGCCCTTTCTCTGTTTCCCCCTGTTGTCCCCAGCCTGGTCCCCTGGGGCTGTCGAACCTGCCGCGCTCATTCTTAAACCTGCTCACATGGGCCCAGGGGCCTGTAATTCTCTGAGAGCCCGGGCAACCCCCTTTGGGTTGATTGCCAAGGCATTAGCTATTGAAGAGATTAGCTAATAAAAAACAATTTTTCTGATGTTCTATGATATGGAAAGTTCATTTTTATCTTTTGACTACTTACTAAAGATACTTTTTTTTTTTTTTGGTATAGGGCATGTACACTTGTCGGGGAGAGAGAGAGAGAGGAAAAGTGAAAAGTCACCCTTCAGGGGATGGCCACACCACAATCCATTCTTCATTCTCCTCTTAGGATTTTGGGCACACATGCACACACGCCCAGTGTGATTTTCAAGCCACCAGGTCTGGGACTTGAACTGTGCAATCAGCCTCGTGGGATCCAGTGTCTAGGCTCCACACCACCTGCTGGCCTCACTGAAGATACCCTGGTTGCCTTCCCTGGCACCAAGGAGTTCTGAGGGAGCCGGTCGTACCTGGACTCCCCTGTGTTTAAAGTCTCCAAGGACTTTAGCCCAGCTGCCGCCTGGGCGTCTGGGGAGGGTGGGGCAGCCACAGCCCACACCAGCACGGCTGTCCGCCCCTGCCAGGCAGGCACTGGGAATGCGCCCCATTTCTCCTGGGCAACCCGGTTCACACAACACAGCATATTTTTTTTTTAAAGAGAGCTTTTATTGTTATAGGGCGTGTGCACTTGCCGGAGAGATGGAGAGATAGAGAAAAATCACCCCCTGGGAGGAAGGCCATGCCGCAATCCCTTCTCCATTCTCCTTTCAGGATTTTGGGCATGCACGCTGGGTCCGGGACTCGAACTGTGGCTAGCCATGTGGGAGTCCGGCAATGTAACCACTATGCCATCTGCTGGTCCCAACACCGCACGTCTGATCTGGGAATTGGTGGGTGGAGTCAAAGCCAGGAAAGCCGCGAGGGCTCTCTATTGTGGACGGTACTGCTGTGGCCCGACCCGGGGGACAGGTGTCCTCGTGAGACCCTGCTCCCAAGGCTTTCCCTCTAGCCTGGCCACAGCATCTTCCTCCTGGCCCCCTCCATGCCTGCTGCGGCTGGGGGTCCTTCATGCAGCGAACCCTGCTGAGCCCAGACCCTGCCGGCTGGGCCAGGAAACGTCCCCGAGGCCCTCCGCCGACAGCCACCGAGGTAAGCTCTGAGTACGTGCGTGAACAGAGGAGGTCGCCGCAGGCCGTGGTGAAGTTCCGTGATGTGAGGCCTGGCTCTGGCCGGGCAGTTAAGGTGGGCAGATTCCATGTGGTCGACTGCATGGTTCGAGTTCCGACCCCGGTGGCTTGGAAACAGGCTGGCGGTGTACACGTGCAGGCTGTGGTGCAGCCGTGCCCCAGGGGTGCTCTCTCCTCCCTTTCTGTCTCTCCTGAGTGCATGTCCTTGGGCAAACTGAAAAACAAAAACAGTGATATGAGATAAAGGGTGGGGGCCAACAGGAGGCGTGGTGGTTAAGGCGGCCGGGTTCCATGGCTGACTGCGCGGTTCTAGTCCTCGACACGGCAGCTTGACAAACACCTCGGACGTGTGTGCGTGCCCAAAATCCCGAGAGGAGAGTGGAAGAGGAAGGCTTGTGTGGCCATCCCCCTGGAGGGGTGACTTCTCACTTTCTGTCCCTGTCCCTCCCGGAGGGCATGCCCATACTGTGGCAGAAGTGACAGAAGTAAAAGAGGAAGTTGGCTTTTTATTGGGTCACCTGGGAAGTCATAGCGTGTCTCCTGTGACCCTATGCAAAATTATTATGACTTGCCTGACAGGAAAGTCCTCTCAAGGGACATTTAGGCTGGCACCTGAAGGAGGAGGAGCTTCTGTGGCCGGTGCTGGGGCCTGAGTGTTCCTGGAGGGCGGTCGGGACTGCCAGGGCGAGGACAGGGCACACGGGTCCCTGAGGGGCAGAGACCACCTACGGACCATCCGCTGGCTCCGGGGCACTAGGCCTGTGGGAGAGCGATGGGGAGTTTGAGGCCCGAGAACGGAGTACCACATGACCTGATTAAAAAGCGAACAAGGAGATGGAGCAGACCCCTCTCTAGCCAGTAAGAGAACCTGCACGATACCACTGTCCACTAGGGAAAAGCAAATCCGAACCCCAGGGCTACCCCACCCTCAAGGACGGCTGCAGGGGATTGGAAGTAGCAGGTGCTCGCGAGAATGTGGCAAGGGGGCCCTGCGCGCACTTGGGCGGGAGCATGAAGTTCTGCGGCCGCCGCGGAAAACTGGAGGTTGCTAAAAGAAAGGAAACTGAAGTTACCATAGGACCCAGTGATGTCCCAAAAGTCTGTACCCAAAAGAACTGGAGGAGAGTCTTGAAGAGAGATTTGTACGCCCATGTTCTCAGCAGGCTTTTGTTTGGTCATAGGGTGTGTGCGTTTGCTGGAGAGAGGAAAAATGCAAAGGCTGGCCTGATTTTCAAACCACCGGGCCTGGGATTTGAACCATGGCAGCCATGTGGGAGTCCAGCGCCTCAACCACTGCACCACCCGCAGCCCCTTGGGCAGCGTTATTCGCAGTAGCCGGAGAGTGGGAACAACCCAGACACCCGCTGGCGGAGAGCTGTAGACAGCCCGTGGCTTACGCGCGATGGGACATTCAACTTTGAGAAGAAAGGAC